AGCTGCTGCCCCGCGCGGCCCTCCCCTCCCCCAGACGCGGCATGTTGCCCCGGCCGCCTCGGCTGTGGGACGCGGGCAAAGAGCAGGCGCCCGAGGAACAAGGCCCCTCGGCGGGCGGTGACCCCGGCGAGGCCTGGACCTCTGGAGAGGAAGCACTGGGGGAGCCAGGAACTCCCCCACAGGACAGGTGAGGGGCTCCGCCGCAGGGAAGTCCGACAGGGGGCCCACCGTGTGAGGAGGTCTCCGTCGCCCACGTTGAGGAACGGGTGTGCTAAACTCCCTGCCCCAGGCCCCCTGGGCCCTGCCTCAGAGATAGCCGGGGAGGCTGTGAGGGGTGCACCTCAGTACGTCCCCCTCCCAGCCCGCAGCCCCGGTCCCGAAGGCCTTCCTGGAGCCGGAGAGAGCAGCTGCTGCCCCGGGCCCCCCCAGGCCTGGCTGCCGAGCGGTCCCCGGGAGCCCCAGGTAGGCACAGGCCTTGCTGCCTCTACCCGCCCCCCCCGCCCCCCACCTAGACACCTTTCCACCGACTCCTGAGCCTGTTTTAATCTCTTCAAGTGTTCCCCCCCAGTTGCTCTTCCCCCCCAGATGGCCTGGGAGGTGGCCCCCTCAAGGATGACTGTGCTAGCCCCATGGGACCCCCACTACAAGGCTAGAGCAGGACCTCGGCTGGTGTGGGTGAGTCGGGAGTATCTCCGGCTCTGGCTTTGGGATGGGGCAGGGGTGCCCTGGGAGGGGACCGAAGCTCCAGTGATCTTTCCTGCCCCTTCCACAGGGGCCCAGCTGTGCGTCAGGCGCCTCCTTCTCCGGCCGGACCTTGTGTCATCCCTCATTCTGGCCGCTGTATGAGGCAGCCCCAGCCACAGGGCATCAGAACGGAGAGCATGCGCCCAGGAATGCAGGTACTTTGCTTGGCCCCCCCCACACACACCCTCACCCAGGCTCTGGAGGTGCCCTGCATGAGCTCGCCGGGGAACCAGTGCAGCCCTCGCTGATGTGGGAACCGCAGCCTGCTGCCCTACCAGCTTGTCTTCTCCAGGGTTCCCAGTGATGTGCCACGAAGATGTCTTTCTGTCAGACCCGCTGCTGCCGTCTGGGCAGCGTGTCCCCCTGTACCTGTCAGAGACCTCTCAGCAGGTGAGTGCAGTTCCTGCCCTGGCCTCACGCTAGTCCTCCTGCAGGGCTTTGGAGGAGACATTTCTCCCTTCTCTCTCCTCAGGTCATGGGCTCTCTGAAGCTGCTGCTCCCACCTCCTATCATGTCTCCCTGGGTCCTCCGCACCCCATCCCCGGGCTGCTCCACTGCCTGGCTCAGTGGGCCTGAGCTGATCGCCCTCACTGGCCTCCTGCAGATGAGCCAGGGGGCTCCGAGACCTGCCTCCCCGGGGGCTCCCACGCCCCCTGCTGGCCCCCCAGACCCTGTATCTGACCACCCAGGCCCCAGTGGCAGCCCCAGCTGTTCTCATTGCACTGACCCATCTGTCCCACGAACCCCAGACGCCCACTGAACATAGCTCTTCTGTGGGCAGAGTGGGGTCCCCTACTCCCCCAGGCAGGTTCTGTTGACAATAAAGCAGTGTTTTGGTTTGCAAACAGGCTCCTTGTAGCAAGTGAGTAGCAGAGTGGGGCATGGAGACAGGGATGGGGGTCTCTTCTTCTACATGGCTTAGGCTGTCCTCCCCTCAAATTCTCGTTACTCATTGGTCACCCCTGCAGGGGGGCAGGGGAACCCATGGACCTAAGACCTTTCCAGGCTGACCAAGCAGGACCACTTTAATAGGGCATAGGGTGGGGGTGGGGGTCCACAGTACAGTATATGGAAGACAAGTATATGGAAGCAAGAAGTCCATCAACTCCACCAGGCTCCAGAGAAGGGAGGATTGTGTGAACACATGGCTGGCACTGGAAGAGGGAAATTAGGGAGGAAGGGAGCGGCACAGCACTTTGGGGAAGCAGTAGAGGTAAGATACCTGGTACTTCAGCCTTCTTGCTCTGGCGCCCTGGGGCCGGGGACTGGTTCTTAGGCCGCGAGGAGACATAAGGCAAGGCCCTGCAGGTGCGGGGTGGGGAGGAGCAGGTCCATGTGGGACAAGTCGTTGGAGGCGGGGTCAGGGGCCAAGGCTGACCTGAGACTCTGGAGTGATGCTGCAGGAACTCTGCCAGGAAAGAAAGGATCGGGGCTTTGGCTGAGGAAGCCTGGAGTTCGTAGGGGTTTGTGGATGGGAAGGGGGGAGGGTGGTTCTAGAATTTTCTCCCTTAAAAGAATCCAGTTTCTTGGGGAGCCTTTCCTGAAGAATCTCCAGGTACCACATCTGGAAGGGGTGGAGTGGGCAGCAGACCCTAAGGGGGCAACTCAGAGCTTCTGCAAGTTGCAGGTCCTAGGGGGCCTTCGAGCCCCTCTACTTTGGGAACAGGTCGGGGGAAGGCATTCATAACTTTGCCCTGTTTTCTCCCCTCCTCCCCATCCATCCCTCAGCTAGACAGGGCGGGGCTGCCCACATCTCCTCACCGGAGCTTCTCTGAGGTTCTGGAACTCGATGCAGGCATAGCTGTGCTGGCGGTTCCTGCTGGCCCCGGGGGCGTCGCCTCGAGCCTCCAGCGGAGGGATCAGGTCCAGGTCCACGTAGTTGAGGTGGCCGTTGGGGGGTTCTTGTATGGCAGTGCCCATTCCTAAGTAGTCCGGGGCCACGTACTTGATGCACACGTACTCCCCTGCTAGCTCTGAGGGCGGCTGCAAGGAGGAATGAGCCCCTGCTGGTCCCCAACGTTCCCCGATGCTGCGGCGGGGGCCTTGGAAGGAAGGTCCAGGCTCCCCAGCCCCGAGCTTATAGAAACAGGGCAGGGAGCTCGAGGACAAGGACCCTGGCGGAAAGCGGCTCATGGGCACGTATTCGGTGCCCCCGCAACCTTGGAGCGGGTAGTGGGGAGCTGCGGGGGCAGAGGCCGCAAGGCGAGGGGGTGCCATCACCATGTAGCCACCTGCTTCGCCACCCCCCATGGGCTCGTAGTCGCTCCGGGCTCCCATGGCTACGTAGCCCCCTCCCCGCTCCAAGCCCTCGGGCTGCGAGGCCGCGGTCGCCCGCATCCGGAGGCCTGCTTTCCCCCTTCTCTCCGCCAGGCCCCTGCAATGGCTCTGGCCGCTTGACTGGGCTGCCGAGGCCAGGGTTGCATAAGGTTGGGAGGCGGAGGGTCTGTAAGCGCTTGCGGGGGGATTCCTTGGCAGTGGCTCAGCCCTGCCACCGGCACCGCCATCCCCGAGTCGCTTCATGGCGGCCAGTACGGTCTCGTGAATGCTTTGGGCCACCTCGGCGTCGGGCGCCTGTAGCCACAGCTCCCCGGGACCCGTGGGCGCCGAGCGGCCGAGCTCCAGGAAGAAGAAAGAGCCTGCGTGGCCGCAGCGGCGCACACTGAGCAGGGACAGGCGCAGGGCGGGCGGCGGCGGCGAAGCCTGGGTGTCCCCAGAGCCTGTGCCCTTGGGCTTCCGCAGCAGGCTCAGCACCCCCGAACCCAGGCACAGGCGGTAGCCGCCGCTGCCCAGGCCTCGTGTTCGCCCCAGTCCCTTGGGCCGCAGTGTCACGGGCCAGACGTCCTGCAATGGAGCGAGAATCCAGGCACCGGGGTCCTCGTGGAAGCTGGGACCTGAAGAGACAGGGGGCTGGTCACAGGGGCTCCTGGGCCGAGGGGTTGGAGTCACTGTGCCGCGAGAACTAAACACGTGTAAACGCCTCATGTTTGAACTTGATTTCGGAGACGTACGGGGAGGGACGACCCACGATAAACTAAACTCGCGATCACCCAAGCCCCGGCTCCCGCCCCCCCTTCCGCCGCCCCGGCTCCGGCTCCGCCCGCCCGGGGCTCGGGCCTCACCGGCGGCCGCGCGCGCCTCGAGCAGGGCGCTGTACCACGCCTGCTGCTCCGCCTCGCAGGCCGCCGCCACGCCCAGGCTGCGGTCGCGCGTGTACAGGACGATCAGGTGGCGCTGGCGCGCGTCCACGCGCTTGCTGATGGTGCACGCACCCGCCAGGCTCACGCTGAGCTTGGGCGGCGCTCGGCCGGCGCGGAACTTCTGCTCGTTCTCGTAGCACTCGAGGCGCGGCGGGTCGGCGCGGAGCACGAAGAAGCGGCGGCGCTGGGACTTCTGCTTCCGCAGGTGGCCGCAGAGCCGCACGTCAGCGGGACAGCCCCAGGGCCGCGGCAGAACCAGGGGCACGCCGGCCGGCTCGGACTCCGGGGCCGCCGGGGGGCCACCGCCTCCGGGCTTCATCCCGGGCCAAAGGCAATGTAGTGGCCAGAGTAGGGGCGGAGACTCAGCAGAGGTGGGGTGGAGGCGGCGGTCTCCGGGGAGGGGGACAGCGTCCTGACAGGTTGCCACCCGTCTTGATGCCCAGCGTCTCACCCCTGCTCCGGACTTGAAGTTTGGGGCAGAGGGTCTGCGGTGGCCCCTCGCTGCGCGCAGCGTGTGCCCCAGTGACTGCCCGGTGGCCGGCGACACGCGGGGCTCCAGCGGCCTTCTCCAAGGCTCGACCCCCGCCGGCTCCTCGCGCCTCTGGTCGCCTCCTGCCCCCTCCCTCCCTCTGCCTCTGCCGACTGCTCCAGAGTCCCCACCCCGCGGGGTTAACCCTCGCGCGCCCCGGGCCGCTGGACATCGGGCCGTGGGAGTGAAGTCTGATTGGGAAAGTCTGGGAGAGGCGGCCTCCTCCCCACCCCAAACACCCCTGGGCTGGGATCGCAGGGGCGGGGAGTGTGTGGGCGTCTCCACGGATCTGAGCTGACTGCTAAGGGAGCAGCGAAGTGAGGCCAACGTGAGTGGAACTGGGTCGGGAGTGCGCAGTCCTGGCGATTAGGGGACGGCCCTTACCGCAGCGCCCCCCCCCCCCCAGTGGTTCTATACTCTTCCTTCCCAAGCCAGCCTAGTTGCCAGGGCCACCAAGCATTGGGCTGTGCTGATTTCAGAGGAGCTGGAGATTCAGGTTCTCTCTGGGTTGAGGGTGATAGGAGGGGTCTTCAGATAAGTTAGCCACCAGAATTCCAGTCAAGAGACCACTGAAGGAGAACCTGTGACAAAACCATCTCTCAGGGGCACTTCCCTCTCACTGCCCTGAGCCCCTTCTCACCACCACTGTCCAAAAAGGCTATTAGAGGGCGCCTGGGTGGCTCAGTTGGTTAAGCGACTGCCTTCGGCTCAGGTCATGATCCTGGAGTCCCTGGATCGAGTCCCGCATCGGGGCTCCCTGCT